ATCCCTTGCGATCAGACAAACGTTCCTAGCTCACCTACACTGTGACCCCTGTCGTCGTCGCCAGCATTTTCGCCTGCTCTCGTCCCTCCCTGCTTCTTCCATCGCATCCATCCACCACCTACCCTGATAAACCCTGAACCTCGATGAACCAGTAAACATTGATACACCTTCGAACCCTCAATTTTCGCAAGATTAACGCTCTGATCTCACCTCCTCCGTGACCTCCCGTCGCCGCCGCCAGCCCTTGCGCTGCTCTCGTCCTGCTTCTCTATCGCCTCCACCACCACCGCCATCGCTGCTCTCTCCCAATCCGCTGCTGCCATCTGTACAACAGCATCGTCCTCCTCCTCGTCCCCTCCCCTTCCTGCTCTCCCTCCTCTAAACCCTCCTCCTCTTCGTCTAAATCGTCGATTTCATCTTCCCACTCTTCCTCCTCCCAGTCCTCCTCCTCTTCCTCCTCCTCCTCCTCCTCCTCCTCTACTTTCAGCGGTCCTTGCTTCCCCTTCTCCCCTTCCCCGGACCCCTTGATTGCGCGGAGGCGTGCTCCGCGGAATGCGGAAGGCTGCTTGTGCGAGACATCGTGATGAGATAGGGAGTGCAGAAACGACGGCGATCGCCGCCACGGGAGAAGTTCTGCTAGCCGGGAAGGAGTGGCGACGGGAAAAAAAGTTTTTGTTCTCGTAATATCTTATTCTCTCTTTCTTCCTATTATAGTAATACTACACATTGCTTGCGGTAAAATGCTGATGCAGAATCGTTTATCGACTACCCTGCAGATAGGAAAACGCTTCACACGACGCCTCACTAACGGTAACAATCAAATGCTTTGAACGGCCATCTCGAAATAAATTGGTAAAACAGAGACAGAAACGCCAGGAGACAGCCTAGCTTCCCTCAACTTTCAGAGGGAATGCCATGTGCTTTAAGTGGGGAATGGTGGCTCGGATCAGGGGTTCCGTGAGGAGGAAACTGCGCGAAGGAGATTACCAGAATGCAGCTTCGTCGCTTGGGGACAGGTCAACGATCTGCAGACCGCTAGCTGCGACGATGATGCAGCCATGATGGCTGCCGAAAAAATTCTGCTAAAACGATGAGAGGAAGCTATCACGCCATTCCTGACCTTCTCTAGTCAAGCTGCAACTTTTGGGGTTGAGCGTACGCGGCAGTGAGTGAACCTCTTTTGACGGAAGACCAACATACACAAACTGACTGTATCGAGCTGGAATATTCGTCCTTGTTGCGATTTCGTGTTGACGTCAACTTTGAATCAAAGGGATATAAGCTGCGCTTACCGAGGGCGACAGCCAATAATGAGTACAGACTCAATTGCTCTCCAGAAATTCTGGTCAATTGCTTTGTTCCAACTTCGAATGGACCAATCAGAAGAGCGCGATGCTCCCAAGATCCACCTGACCACGAATCACGCTGGGGGGGCCAGTGAACACCGACACCGAACCAGGGAAGTCGAAGCGATTTTGATATCGATTTGTTTGTGTTGTGCTTTCTGTTGTGCTCCACGGGTTCTGATATCGATTTATTCTTGTGCGAATTGGATGTGGGAAGTCTCATGACGTCATTCTTCTGGAATTCAGACTGGTTGGACCAATGAGGGAAGTACAATTCAAGTCATGAAGAAACAGAGGTGAAATGAAAATCGATCGTAAGAAGACTCTTCGTCTCGCTGCAGTATTGTACATGCCCTCACAACCTTTCCATTTGTTTGCAAAATGCACAAGGATCATTAGAAGGTGTCTCAAGTACCTGGTCCGCCCCGAGCCTGTTCGTTGCCAGAGTGTGCGTGCCTGGTCCGGAATTCTGGTCCGACGGACTCAGTTCGCAGACCAGGCGTGGACCAGACACGGACTGGTCTGTATGATACATCGCGTCGCGGGCTGTACAGTTTTCGCGAGTTGAAACAGTAGCGATGAGATTCGAACATGCTGTAATCGAGTTACCTTTTTTCTGTGCAAGGTAAATTTCCCCATCCCGTCAAGCACGAAATTCACGAGGGCCGTGCAGTTTCGCAAAGAAATGTGGGAGGTGCTACAGTATTCGGACCAGCCACAGGCTGGTCTGCCGACCAGTTCTATGACACCGATGTAGTGTCTTATGAATTTTATAACGGGGTTAGATTTCCCGCATCCCGGACCAGTCCGTCGCTGGTTCACGTGGTGGATTTCGAGCTGGTCCGTCGGGTCCGCTTCGGACCCACGTGAACTCACGCATTTGAGACACGTCCTTAGGCAACTGTGCCAACTGTCAGATTCATGCAAGCTGATCGCCAGTTAGCTAGGGTGGCTTAGCTCCTAAAGTCCCTCCGTTTCCGTGCATCACGCTGCTTTAGCGATCTTCGTAGTCGTATTAGAAGCTCGTTTGCGCGGTTAGGCCACTGAATCCGGACAGGGTCATTTGCGGTTGCTATCAGGAGCCCAAAATGGCTTCGCATGTGCGAAATTCGCTACTTCTGGTCGTCATGATCAGCGCAGCAACGGGGGCTTTCGCCAGTATCAAGCCTCTTCGTGGCGTTCCCCCTCAAGGTGCTTGCGATAAGCTGTCGATATGCGTTACCATATCGTGCGCTAAAATACACTTCGCACCGATCGGATCCTACGAAACTTACATTTTTTGCGCTCTACACTTCCCGTTCAGAATGGTTCTCCCTCCACCCACCCCCCCACACTCCCACCCCACCCCCTTCCTTTCCCCTCTCCTTCCGTTAAAATTGCCACGTACATCCATCCTGATCGTGACTAGGACGGCGAATAGTGGTTTGCCAGCTGGCTTCGCATGCTTGCTTGCGAATCTAGACGGACTCTAGTGGATCGCCAGCTGGACGGGTTTGTGCCACCTCACTTCGTCGGCTGGGCATGGCGTAGTCTTGTCGAATTTGGGCTGCTCAATTCGGTATTCTTTTCTGATGATTCTTCTTCCTGCTCTGTGTTTGCGTCTGTCCCATGAATGTGCGTATGTGTGAATCCGTGATTGTGTTTATGAGCGTATGTGTGTGAGGTGACGGAAGAGGAGAGGGAGGGGAGGGGGCCTGGGAAAGGAGTCTTTGTGAGGGTAGTCGGGTGGGTGGGGGGTTGAGGCTGGGAGGTTGAGAGATGGATTGCCTTGCCTGTGTGGATATGGGGGATGCGGAATGAGGGTTGGATGGATGGGTGTGGGGAATGGCGAATGAGGGGTGTGTGGCTGAATGGGTGGGTGGGTGTGGTGTGAGGAATGATTGGTTGCAGATAAGGCCCTATTTTCGGGAGTGGTGTTCTCCTGCCGGGATGGTTCCAGAAAGTTGCACATCTCGCGAGTCAACGACGATTTCTGCGACTGCCCTGACGGCACGGACGAGCCTGGCACCTCCGCCTGCCCCAACTCCTCCTTCTACTGCCGCAACCGAGGCCACAACCCGCTCTCGCTCTTCTCGTCCCGAGTCAACGACGGCATTTGCGGTACGTGTGTGTGGTGTGTGTGTGTGTGTGTGTGTGTGTGTGTGTGTGTGTGTGTGTGTGTGTGTGTGTGTGTGTGTAGCATGTGGTGCAGCGGGTATGTGATGCCCAGTTGCAAGCACGGACGAGCCTGGCACCTCCGCCTGCCCCACTCCTCCTACTGCCGCAACCGAGGCCACAACCCCTCTCACTCTTCTCCTCTCGAGTCAACGACGGCATATGCGGTACGTGCGTACATGGTACATGGCATGTGTTGCAAACTCCTGCGACTGCTCTGACGGCACGGACGAGCCCGGCACCCCCGCGTGTCCCAACGGGTCATTCTTCTGCCACAACCCCCTCTCGCTCTTCTCCTCTCGAGTGAATGACACCTATGACAAGATTTAAACGCAGTGCATGTGCTCTGTTGCAATCTCTCCCCTCACCGCCTCTCACCGCCCCACACCTCCCCTCACCTCTCTTCACCCCCCCTCACCCCTCCCAAGATTGCTGCGACGGCAGTGACGAGTACGATGGCAGGGTGGTGTGCCCCAACACGTGTTCCCAGGCGGGAGGGCGCTTACACATCACCTCTCTCTTTCCAACCCCGCCTCTGAATTTTTACCACAGATTGCTGCGACGGCAGTGACGAGTAAGATGGCAGGGTGATCTGCCCCAACACGTGCGCCCAGGCGGGGGCAACCAACTTATACACCACCTATCTCCTTCCCCACCCCCGCCTCCGTTGATTCAACAGATTGCTGCGATGGCAGTGACGAGTACGACGGCAGGGTCACCTGCCCCAACACGTGTGCCCAGGCAGGGGCGGCAAGGCAGCAGCAGCTGGATCAACTCCCCTTTTCCCCCCACCGCCACTCGCACCCTCTCACCCCTCCACAGATTGTTGCGACGGCAGTGACGAGTATGACGGCAGGATTACCTGCCCCAACACTTGTGCTCAGGCGGGGCGGCGAGGCGGCAGCAGCTGGCAGCTGACGTGGCAAAGCACAGGGAGGGCGTGAGGCAGCGGCAGCGGGCGGTGGAGGAGTGAGAATTGCAGGAGAAGGAGAAGATTCTCAAAGGTATGTATGCACGGGGGAGTGAGAGGGCGTGAGGTAGAGGGAGAGGCAGAGGGAGAAGAAGGTGCGGCTGCAGGAGGAGAGAGGGCGGCTGGAGGAGGAGGAGAGGGAGCTGCAGGAGAAGGAGAAGGCTCTCAAAGGTATGTCTGTGTGTGTGCTTGTGCGCATGTGTATGGGTGTGAGGCAGCGGCAGAGGGCGGTGGAGGAGTGGAGGGAGAAGAAGGTGCGGCTGCAGGAGGAGAGAGGGCGGCTGGAGGAGGAGGAGAGAGAGCTACAGGAGAAGGAGAAGGTCCTGAAAGGTATGTATGCACGGGGGAGTGAAAGGGCGTGAGGTAGAGGCAGAGGCAGATGGAGAAGAAGGTGCGGCTGCAGGAGGAGCGAGGGCGGCTGGAGGAGGAGGAGAGGGAGCTGCAGGAGAAGGAGAAGGCTCTCAAAGGTATGTCTGGGTGTGTGCTTGTGCGCATGTGTATGGGTGTGAGGCAGAGGCAGAGGGCGGTGGAGGAGTGGAGGGAGAAGAAGGTGCGGCTGCAGGAGGAGAGAGGGCGGCTGGAGGAGGAGAGAGAGCTACAGGAGAAGGAGAAGGTCCTGAAAGGTATGTATGCACGGGGGAGTGAGAGGGCGTGAGGTAGAGGCAGAGGCAGATGGAGAAGAAGGTGCGGCTGCAGGAGGAGCGAGGGCGGCTGGAGGAGGAGGAGAGAGAGCTACAGGAGAAAGAGAAGATTCTCAAAGGTATGTTTAAGTGCGGGAGTGTGTTTCTATGTGTGTGTGTATGTTAGGCAGCGGCAGAGGGCCGTGGAGGAGTGGAGGCAGAAGAAGGTGCGGCTGCAGGAGGAGAGAGGGCGGCTGGAGGAGGAGGAGAGGGAGCTGCAGGAGAAGGAGAAGGTTCTTAAAGGTATGTTAGAGTGTGGGAGTGTGGGAGAAGGAGCTACAGGAGAAAGAGAAGGTCCTTAAAGGTATTGGAGTGGGGGAATTGGAGGGCTAAGGCAGAGCCAGGGCGGCTGGAGGAGTTGGAGAAGGAGAAGGTTCTTAAAGGTGGGGAAGGGTCTTGGAGTGTGTTCGTGTGTGCGTGTGTGTGCATGTGTGTGCGTACATATGGGTGTGGAGAGTGAATCTTCTGTTTCGATGATGGGAGAAAGAGGCAGGTGCAAGAGAAGGAGGGTGGCTGTTGTTTAATAGAAGGTATATATGGGCATGAGTCTGAGACAGAGGGCTGCGGAATGCTAAGTATGCTGCACTTTTACCTCTCTCCCCTGCTGTTTTCACGCTTATCCACTCCTCTCTCTTCTCTCTGACCGGACCAGAGAGGAAGGAGGCTCTAGAGAAGATAGAGGAGAAGGAGAGGGAGATGCAGATAGAGGAGTATGCAGATAGAGGAGTATGCTTATAAGAGGAGTATGCATGAATTCTGTGAACACCCTTCTTCTCCTCTTCCTCCCACTCTTCTCCCCTCCTCTCTCCCCTTTGTCTGGACCAGAGAGGAAGGACGCATTAGAGAAGATAGAGGAGGAGGAGAAGGAGAAGAAGAGGAAGATAGAGGAGGAAGAGGAGGCCAAGAGGAAAGCAGAGGAGGAGAAGCTTCACCCACCACCCGCCGAACCTGCCGAGCCTGCTGCCACCGAGCCTGCAGCTGCCGAACCAGGGGCAGCTGAGCCTGACTCTGCTGAGCCTGCGGCTGCCGAACCTGCTTCTACCGAACCTGCTTCTACCAAGCCTGCTTCGACGGAACCTCCAGTGCAGCAGGGAATGGTGGGGGAACCCCTTCGTGCTGATGCCGATGCTCCTGACTTTGTTGCTGATTCCCCTGCTGCTGCTGCTGCTGCTGCTGCTGCGGCTGCTGTTGATAGTTTGGTTGCTGGTGATGATGCTGCTGCTGCTCCTGATGCTGCTGCTCCTGCTGATGGCAACGAGAAATCCAACGAGAGTGGCAAGGAGATGGATGATGATGAGAGCGATGAGGACCTGTCGGGGCTGTCTAAGGAGGAGCTGGGGCGGAGAATCGCGTCCCGATGGGCGCATGGGGAGGACGGTCCTGGGGGCGCGGAGGTGGAGGGGGGAGACGGGGACGGGGGGAAGGCGGACGGGGAGGGTGAGGGGGAGGGGGATGATGGGGTTGATTTGGGCGGGGAGGATGGGTTGGGTTATGATGATGGGGATGATGATAAGGACTATGAGGACATGGAGCATGATGCACATGGTGATGATCATGATGAGGATGATCATGATGGTGATGATGGTGATAATGACCATGACCATGGGCATGAGGACCATGCTGATGATGATGCGTTGGAGGATGCGGAGGACTTTGCTGCCCATACGGAGCATGAGGATGATGATCCGTGGCGGCATGAGTCAGGTACGTTACTACAGCACATCATACACATCATACACATCGTACACATTATACACATCATAAACACATCATACACATCATATACATCATACACATCATACACATCATACACATTATGCACATCATACATATTCTAAACGTCATACATAATTACACATTTTGACACTGCACTGCACCGCACTGCAGGTGTACTGCCACACCATTCACAGGCAGTTGTATAATCGTGTCTCCTCCCTCGTCTCCTATTCACTCTCTCTTCTCCCTCCTCCCTCTTCTCGCTCCCCTCCACCTCCCCCTTCTTTCCCCGTCAGCCCCTGCTGCCCTTCGCCCACATCCTTGAGGGAACAAGGCAAGGCAGGTGTGATCGCGGGTCTCCTACCTCGCCTCCTACTCACCCCCCCGCCCTCTTCTTTCCCCCATACCCCCCTTTCCCGCTTTTCCTCCGCCCCCACCCTCCTCCCGCTTGCTCCCCGCCATCAGCGCCTGCCCCGCGCCATCGCTGTGGGACAAGGCAAAGCAGGTGTGGACGCGGGTGGTCCGCCCTCGTCTCCACCAAGCCTTCTCTGCCAGTGAACGAAACAGGTGGGTCTGTGAGCAGCGTGTAAGTGGTTGGTGCCTACTACCGGTACCTCGGGTGTGTTCAAGGTGTGAGCAGGTGTGACAATTCTCTCAGAGCACAACGGTATCTCATCCCAGCTTAATAAAGCAAACACCACCACCTTGAAACCTCCCCTCTCTTCTCCCTTCCCCAACGTCCCCCTCCCTCCAACCCCCAGACCCTGCTTACAATCCGCTCAGAATACAAACCTTATCGCATCCCAGCTCAGCAAGACAAATCAATGCCTTAAAGCGTCCTCTCCTCTCTCCCCCCTCATCCCAGCTCAGCAAGACAAATCAATGCTTAAAGCGTCCTCTCCTCTCCCCCCTCCAACCCTCTCTCCTTCTCCAGACCTGCTTACAATCCGCTCAGAATACAACCTTATCTCATCCCAGCTCAGCAACACAAGTTAACGCTTTGAGCTTTCCGCCACCCTCTCCCATTCACTCTTCACTCTTCCTCCCCGGTGCAGATCTGCTGACAATCTGCTCCGAGTACAACTCTATCTCATCCCAGTTTAATAGAGCAAACCAACACGTTCAAAACCTCCCTCTTTGCCCCATTCCACTCTTCACTCTTCATCCCCGGTGCAGACCTGCTGACGATCCGCTCCGAGTACAACGTTATCTCGACCAAGCTCAGCAAGGACTAAGGGGCGACTTCGCACGGTGAAGGAAAACCTGGAGAAGGACCTGGGTGAGTGTGGTGTGGTGTGGTGCGGTGTGAGTGTGTGCGGTGCGGTGCGGTGCGGTGTGGTGTGGTGGTTGTGGTGGTGTTCTCAGTAAAGGAAAAGTTCAAGAAGGGCCTGGGTGAGTGGAAAGTCGTTCCAAACAGAGTGGGACCTTTGTTGTCGGATAAAACCCTTTCACTCGCTTTCAAGTCAAGCTTGACAGGGACCTGAGTAGGTGCAGATTTGAGACTTTTGCTGCTATTTTTTCTCTCTCTCTTTACCCTGCAGGTCCTGACGGCGAGTTTGCTTCATTCGCCGACCACTGCTTCTCCCTTCAAAGTCAACCAGTTAAGATGCCAATCCGCATGCACCATGCATGTCCATGCCATGCCATGCCATGCATGCCCATGCCATGCCACGCATTCCAATGCCATGCCCATGCCGTTCTCCATCCAACCACCAACCTCCCCCTCACTTCCCTCCCCTTCCTCCCCCTTCCTCCCCTTCCTCCCCTTTCCTCCCCCTTTCCTCCCTTCCTCCCCCCTTCCCTCCCCCCCTTCTCCCCCTTCCTCCCCCCTTCCTCCCCCTCCCTCCACCTTGTAAAGCTCGTTTCTCACTTGACCATCCACCATGTTGCTCTTGACCCTCTCCTTCCCGTTCCCCCCTTCCTCTATCCACCTTCCTCTTCCCGTCCCTTCTCTCCCACACCCTCCTCCCATTCCCCTCCTTCCCAAACCCCCCTCCCATTTCCCCTCCTTCCCAAACCCCCCTCCCATTCCCCTCCTTCCCAAACCCCCCTCCCCTTCCCCTCCTTCCCCAAACCCCCCTCCCCTTCCCCCTATGATGCGAAGACGCGTCCTGCGTCCTGGACGCATGCGTCCAGACGCATGCGTCCAGACGCATGCGTCCGGATGCAGGACGCTTCACCAGGACCAGAAAGACGCACCAAAAGACGCAGTCCCGGGCAGGCAAAAAAAACCCCCCCCGGGCAGGCAAAAAAACTTGTTATAGGGCATGGTGATGAGGGGGGGGGGGGGGGGGGTGAGAACGTTCCACACTTTCAAGGCAAACTTGGCCCCAACATCAAATTTTCCCCCAAATCTCAAGATTAAGGTGAGTCACGTTAGATGACGTAGGGTTGCTTGAGGAAGCCATAATGGAGCTAAGCTATGCTTGTAGGCTAAAACCTCTAGGGTTTTCGAAAGAGAATTGGTTGGGTGGGTGAAATGAGAAATGACTTGGTTGGATTGCTAAATGGGCTTGGTGGTAGGCACCCTTGGTTGGGTTTCTAGATGTGAAGTGGTTGAGAGGTATTGGGAATTCAATTGTTGCATGGGGGGTTATGAAATGTTTGGGGGGGGGGGCTGTTTTTCAATGTCGAATTGGGCAATGGGGGGTCAAAATTTCGCGATTTCGACAGTCGCGTCGAAAATCGCGAGATTGAAATTCGTAATCTGGAAAAAAAAAAAAATCGGGGCAGGCCCGAAAATTTTTCGATCTGCGTCCTGCGTCTGGACGCGCGTCTTGCGTCCTAGCGTCCAGACGCAGGACGCAGCGTCTCTGAGCGTCTTTCGCATCATAGCCTTCCCCTCCTTCCCAAACCCCCCTCCCCTTCCCCCCCTCCCCTTCCCCCCTCTCCTTCCCCCTCCTTCCCAAACCCTCCTCTCCTTCCGCCTTCTCCCAAGGACACCCGCCTTGCCTCTCCCCCCTCCACACCCTCCCCCTCTCGTCCCCCTCAACCCCAGATATGAGTACGAGGTGTGCCCATATTTTTTGCTTTTGAGTCGACTCAAAAGCTCCCCCCTCCACACCCTCCCCCTCTCGTCGCCCTCAACCCCAGGTATGAGTACGAGGTGTGCCCATATCGGCAGGTGAAGCAGAAGGAGAAGCACCACTCTGATACCACCGTGGGGTGAGTGAGGGATGCTTTGCGGTGCTGTGTGATGCTGTGTGGCGCTGTGCGGCTTCGTGCGATGCTGTGTGTTTGATTGTTTCTGTAAGAAGGCGAAGCAGAAGAAGAGTCACCAATCTGATACCACTATCGGGTGAGTGAGGGTTGCTGTGCGGTGGTGTGTTTCGTTGTGCAATGCTGTGCAGTTCTGTGCGGTGCTATGTGCCACTGTAAGAAGGTGAAGCAGATGGATGGGGGATCACCACCAGTCTGCTCTGATACCAGTAGTACCCCAGTACTTGCCCCCACAGTGGAGCTACCGGTGTGCTATGCGGTGCTGCGGGGTGCTCAGAGCTGCTATTCTTGTTAGAACGACAAGCCGAAGAAAAGCTTGAAAAGAGTGTTGAGAAGAGTCTCAATATAGTACCACTGCAAGCTTCGTGTCTCTTATCCAAGAATGACCAAAATCGCGCTTCTCCCATCAACCCTCCGTCTCTCGTTCGCCCATCCCTGCAGCATTCGGCTTGCTTGCTTTCATCCCTGCAGCATTCGGCTTGCTTGCTTTCATCCCTGCTGCATTCGGCTTGCTTGCTTTCATCCCTGCAGCATTCGGCTTGCTTGCTTTCATCCCTGCTGCATTCGGCTTGCTTGCTTTCATCCCTGCAGCATTCGGCTTGCTTGCTTTCATCCCTGCAGCATTCGGCTTGCTTGCTTTCATCCCTGCTGCATTCGGCTTGCTTGCTTTCATCCCTGCTGCATTCGGCTTGCTTGCTTTCATCCCTGCAGCATTCGGCTTGCTTGCTTTCATCCCTGCAGCATTCGGCTTGCTTGCTTTCATCCCTGCTGCATTCGGCTTGCTTGCTTTCATCCCTGCTGCATTCGGCTTGCTTGCTTTCATCCCTGCTGCATTCGGCTTGCTTGCTTTCATCCCTGCAGCATTCGGCTTGCTTGCTTTCATCCTGCTGCATTCGGCTTGCTTGCTTTCATCCCTGCTGCATTCGGCTTGCTTGCTTTCATCCCTGCAGCATTCGGCTTGCTTGCTTTCATCCCTGCAGCATTCGGCTTGCTTGCTTTCATCCCTGCTGCATTCGGCTTGCTTGCTTTCATCCCTGCTGCATTCGGCTTGCTTGCTTTCATCCCTGCTGCATTCGGCTTGCTTGCTTTCATCCCTGCTGCATTCGGCTTGCTTGCTTTCATCCCTGCTGCATTCGGCTTGCTTGCTTTCATCCCTGCAGCATTCGGCTTGCTTGCTTTCATCCCTGCAGCATTCGGCTTGCTTGCTTTCATCCCTGCAGCATTCGGCTTGCTTGCTTTCATCCCTGCTGCATTCGGCTTGCTTGCTTTCATCCCTGCTGCATTCGGCTTGCTTGCTTTCATCCCTGCAGCATTCGGCTTGCTTGCTTTCATCCCTGCTGCATTCGGCTTGCTTGCTTTCATCCCTGCTGCATTCGGCTTGCTTGCTTTCATCCCTGCTGCATTCGGCTTGCTTGCTTTCATCCCTGCAGCCGCTGGTCGGGCTTTGAGGACAACTACCAAAGGATGATGTTCAAGAACTCTCTTCCCCCCCCACTCCCCTCCCCATCCCTCCCCCTCCTCCACCTCATCCCTGCAGCCGCTGGTCGGGCTTTGAGGACAACTATCGGACGATGATGTTCAAGAATGGTGATAAGTGCTGGAACGGACCCAACCGGAGCATTAAGGTGGGTGGGGTGCTGCTACGGTATGGGGTGTTGGGTTGGGGCACTGCAGTACCAATGGGTGAGGCTTTGAGGACAACCATCGCTCGATGATGTTCAAGAATGGGGATTAGTGCTGGAACGGACCAAACCGGAGAATTAAGGTGGGTGGGTGGGTGGGTGGGCGGGTGGTAATGGGATGGTATGGGCTGGTAAATTCTGTGGTATAGGGTGGGATAGGGTGGTATGGATTATGGTATGGGGGGGATGTTAGTGTATTGCAGTAGCTACAAGCCGGGCTTCGTGATTGGTCACGAAATTCGATGATCGGGAATGTTGATAAGTGTTGGGATCTTTGAGACGTCTCAAACATACACGTCATTCACGTGGATGATCGGGAATGTTGATAAGTGATTGGGTTCCAACCGATCCCGACCATACGGCGGGGTGTTGTCATGGTTGAGTTTTTCTCCGTTTTTTTTTTTTAGAACCTCTCTTTCTTCTTTTTAATATTCGAAAATATCTCACCACCACCACCACCACCCATGTGACTGCAGGTGAAGCTGGAATGCGGACTGAAAACAGGGATCAGATCAGTGGAGGAACCCAGCCGATGCGTGTGAGCTGTGCTTGATTCTCAAGGGTGGATCTCTTTTAACCCCTGCTTTTCTGCTCAACTGAGTCTCACTGCAGGTGAAGCTGGAGTGCGGACTGAAAACAGGGATCAAGTCAGTGGAGGAACCCAGCCGATGCGTGTGAGCTGTGCTTGGTTCTCAAGGGTGGATCTCTTTTAACCCCTGCATTTCTGCTCAACTGAGTCTCACTGCAGGTGAAGCTGGAATGCGGACTGAAAACAGGGATCAGATCAGTGGAGGAACCCAGCCGATGCGTGTGAGCTGTGCTTGGTTCTCAAGGCTGGATCTCTTTTAACCCCTGCTTTTCTGCTCAACTGAGTCTCACTGCAGGTGAAGCTGGAGTGCGGACTGAAAACAGGGATCAAGTCAGTGGAGGAGCCAAGCCGATGCGAGTGAGTGTGTCTTCCCTGTTCCACTCTTAGTGATACCTAACACCGTACATGTCCTTCTTCTTTGTTTGCTTTTTTTATTCACTCAAGAATCAGAGCGAACTGAAAGTGCGAGAGGTAGGATTAGGCAATACGAGTGAGTGTGGCTTTACCGTTCCACTCCTAGTTACACCTGTTGCATACCCTTCTTCTTCTTCATTTACGTCTCAATACATCTAAGAATCAGAGTGAATCAATGCGTGAGACAGAGCCCAGACACTTTAGTTTTAAATCTACCATCTGGAGGCTTGCAGGGAGCCCAGCCGATGCAAACGGGTGTCTCCTTTTGTTCCACCCCTAGTGACACATCAATGGCTGACGGTTCCCGCCTCCCCATCTCCCGCTCTCCTTCCCTCCCCATCTCCCTCCACCTTATTAGGTACGAAGCGGTGCTCGTGACGACTGCAGTGTGCAACGCAGAGCTGGCACAGGTGCGGGGAAATGCGACAAATAAAACACTTTTCCACCTTCTGTCATTTAATGGTGCTTGTTTTTGTGCTACTGGTCTGCATGACTCTACCAGTGACCAGCACACAAACCTTGGTCATTCTTTTTTCTGTTCTGTCTATGTTATTTCAAGTGGAGTTACCTAAGTCCCCTGGTGCGCAAATCTTAACACCTGTGCTACTTTATTGCAGGAGCTGGAGAGGCAGCTGAAGCAGATGGAGGATGATTTGGCTGGTCACGATGAGCTGTAACATTCTAGACATTAGGGGTGTAACAGCTGTAATGAATTGTATAATTTACGGCGATGGAGCAGAAGAAGGTACAGGCGTCTACTTTCTTGGCTAGCTATCCTTCCAACGAAGCTCGAACTGTAACGCTTCTTCAAGAACGTGGTTAGAAGACCAATCTAAATATCATACACCTTCCACACACTTCCTTCCACTGCAACAGTTATGGTGCAAGGTGTGCATATTGTGCCGTGTATTGATATGAAAACGGATGCAGTGCAGTTGGAAAGTAAACCGTATTCTCCCGGACATAACACCCTAGGGTATAGCTAGAAATACAGGGAAAAAATGGGGGGGGGGGTCTCCTCGTAGGAAAAAAAAGACATAATACCCGGGTCTTTACATATGGCATATTTTAGTGTTAGTGTTTTTTTAATTAGTCAATGTGGGTGTTTTGCTGGTCGTTTTAGCATCACTGCCTGAGGCGCGAATGTGAGTTTCGGCCTCGAACTTCATCGCCCCCACGAAAATGGCATGTGGCACCTCTCTTGCCACTTGCAACGGAAGATTCACCTGCACGTGGCGACAGAGAAATAGTGGGAGGGGGCAAATCTCGGCAGATTGCCTTTGAATGTACCGCGAAATTTCATCTAGGGAGAAATTCACACGATATTCTTCCGTATTGCAGCTACTCGTTAACGACTATAATAATGAATCCGTAAGAAAAGGGGGGGTGTTATAGAAAATCAGCCAAAAAGGGGGGTATAGTAGAAACGAGGTCTATCATAACACCCACCCCGCACAAGCTACCCGGGGGTGTACAATTATGGGGGGGTGTTTTGTCCGGGAGTATACGGTACATACTGTATGCCTATTTTGCTTGTACGACAATCATCCCTTCCCAGGGAATCCAAACTTCACACCAGAGTACAACAGCTGCTGCGATGCCGATTCACAACACCCAAACCTCCTACCAGGCGCACTTAAGAGTAGCAGTCCACGAAATTCTACACTTCCCAATCAACCAGTATGCACAGTGCACAAAAACGGGTCTTGCGCCGAAACAAATGTTCTACTCTTGATTGCCCCTAGCTGTTGGATTCGTGCCCTAAGACTCGAGCGCTCCACTCTTTTTACTCGTGTTTCTCAGCTGGAGGGTTCTTGATTCCAGCGTAAGTGCGGATGAGGTTTGCCCCGCTGGGGTCGGTGATGAGATGGCTGATGAGGCGGAAGCGGAGAGGGTTGGAGGCGACCAGGAAGGTGGAGAAGGCGAAGAGGAGGAGGTCGAGGGAGGAGAGGTTGGACGCCAGGAAGCCCCGCCATAGCCTGAGGGGTGGAGAGGGGTGAATCAGGGTGGAAAGTGGTGGAGGGGGGCGGAAAGGGGCGGAGAGGGGCGGAGTGGGGTGGAGAGGGGTGAAAAGGTGAGGTTTGTTATTCCAGCGTAAGTGCGGATGAGGTTTGCCCCGCTGGGGTCGGCGATTAGATGGTTGATAAGGCGGAGCGGAGAGGGTTGGAGGCGACCAGGAAGGTGGAGAAGGCGAGGAGGAGGAGGTCGAGGGAGGAGAGGTTGGACGCCAGGAAGCCCCGCCATAGCCTGAGGGGTGGAGAGGGGTGGAGATGGGTGGAGAGGGTTGGTGAGGAGCAAAGAAGGGCGGAGAAGGGTGAGGGGAGAAGCAGAGTGGTGGGGAAGGGTCGAGAGGGGTAACTAAGGGGTGGAGAAGGGGTGGAGGAGAATGGAGAGAGGTAGAGCTCGGGAAAGAGGGAAATGAGAAGGTTTGGTGCAGTAGGAGGGTAAAGCGTCTCACACAGTTGGAAGGCTGAAAGGCTAAGCACACTATCTTCTTCAAACGTAGAAGATATTGCATGCCTGTTTGAGTTCAAAAAAAAAACTTATAAAAGACTCATGTGCAGGCAGTTTCAAAAGCAGGCAATCCCGTGTGGGGGGCAGCTTGAAGAAGGCGTTGAAAATTTCTCGAGTGGCCGGTGAGTCGAACCGCAAAATGAGTGCATTCTGAGTCGACTCATAGGTCACCTAGGTAGGGGGCAGCTCATCTTGGACTCTAAGGTGTATTCCGGTTTGACCCAAAGCTCACCTGGGGGGCAGCTTGAAGAAGGCGTTGTATTTTGAGGCGCCTCAAAATACACCTCACTAATAGGTCACCTAGGTAGGGGGCAGCTCATCTTGGACTCTAAGGTGTATTCCGGTTTGACCCAGAGCTCACCTGCGGGGAAGCTTGAAGAAGGCGTTGAAGAAGTCTCGGGTGGCTGGTGCGTCCAGCTGCAGAACTCAAAGGTGCGTTTTGAGTCGCCTCAAAGCTCACCTAGTGGCAGGTCACTTGGGGGGAGGCTCACCTGGGGGGCAGCTTGAAGAAGGCGTTGAAGACATCTCGGGTGGCTGGTGCATCGAGCTGCAGAATGAGTGTCTTTAAGTCGAACCACAAGGTTGTATGTTGAGTTGAGTCGACTAAATAACTCACCTGGGGGGCAGCTTGAAGAAGGCGTTGAAGAAGTCTCGGGTGGCTGGTGCATCGAGCTGCAGAATGAGCTCGAGGCCAAATATCATGAATGATTGCTGCCTCTTGCGCTCTGCTGACCACAGGTGGTCCCAGGCTGAAAATCCAGAGGGCACAGAGCACGGGGCACAGGGCACAGGGCACGGGGGCACAGGGCACAGGGCACAGGGCCCAGGGCACAGGGCACAGGGCCCAGGGCACAGGGCACCTTGAGTTGCAGCTTCTAGTGAAGTTTGGCTGGGAGAGCGCAGAGCAGCAGCGAGAGCAGTGGCATAGTGGGTAGCTCGGTGTTACAGCCCCACAACCGCACTGCACCTAGAACCTGTCGTAACTCACAGGCCCACACTAAGCAACCTACCTTGAGTTGCAGCTTCTAGCCAAGTTCAGCAGGGAGCGCGCAGAGCAGCAGCGAGGGCAGCCCCACATTCCCACAGCCCCAGAGCCCCACACCTCAATAGCCCCACAGCCCCACACCTCGATAGCCCCACAGCTCCACAGCCCAACACCAGCCTACCTTGAGTTGCAGCTTCTAGTGAAGTTCGGCTGGGAGAGCGCAGAGCAGCAGCGAGGGCAGTGGCATAGTGGGGAGCTTCGGTGAGAGAGCGAGTGATAGAGTAGCCTGTTGGGGAGGGGGGACATTTGGGAAAGAGGGATGGAAACACGGGAAGGAAAGGGAGATGGGGTATTTGAGTGAAGGAACAAGCAGAGCCGCAGCAAGGCAGCAGCATCACCAAAACTCACATGGTGCTTGCGTGCTTGCTTACCTGTGACGACAAGGATCTAACGTTTCACAAAGTTGGTGCTTAAAAAAAACAAACGCCTAGCAAAAAAGCTCACCTGTGACGACAAGAATCTAAGGTTTCAAGAAGTTGGTGCTTCAGAATATCCAATCTCCGATGGTTCGTAAGAGTATCCAATCTTGAGAGTTGGTGGTGCTTACCTGTGGCAGGATGAATCATGGACGCAGCAGCACCAAAGCCCAGGTGCTGCTGCGTGGTAAGAGGGAGAGAGCCGCCCACAGGGATGTAGGACCACTCCTGGTAGGTGGGGCGAAGGGGAGAACTTTTGAGACGTCTCAAAAGGGATGTAGGACCACTCCTGGTAGGTGGGGCGAAGGGGAGAACTTTTGAGACGTCTCAAAAGGGATGTAGGACCACTCCTGGTAGGTGGGGCGAAGGGGAGAACTTTTGAGACGTCTCAAAAGGGATGTAGGACCACTCCTGGTAGGTGGGGCGAAGGGGAGAACTTTTGAGACGTCTCAAAAGGGATGTAGGACCACTCCTGGTAGGTGGGGCGAAGGGGAGAACTTTTGAGACGTCTCAAAAGGGATGTAGGACCACTCCTGGTAGGTGGGGCGAAGGGGAGAACTTTTGAGACGTCTCAAAAGGGATGTAGGACCACTCCTGGTAGGTGGGGCGAAGGGGAGAACTTTTGAGACGTCTCAAAAGGGATGTAGGACCACTCCTGGTAGGTGGGGCGAAGGGGAGAAGGGAAATAGGGGTGAGGGAGGGCAGGGGCGTGGTAAGCAGGGATGGGGAAAGCCCAGGTGCTGCTGCGTGGTGTGAGGGAGAGAGCCGCCCACTGGGATGTAACACCACTTCTGCCCGGAAGGGCGAAAGGGGAGAGGGGAAACAGGGTGGGGAAACAGGTGGCGAACAGGGTGGATGGGACGTGGCAGAAGGGAAAAACCAATGTGTGTTTCAAGTTAAGCACACCTCCTCCCACAACACTCAAACGGCAAATTTGGGAGGAATGTTGGTGACGTTAAGCAATCATTTTGCAGGAGAAATGAAGGGCACCGGCTCACCTCCTCATGCGTCACGGTGTATTTGACCCCCAGCTGTGCCAGCCGGCTGCGCAGGCGCATTTTGAGTTTACCATATCATTCAAACAGTCACCTCAAGTGGAATGCCAATCACGGCTCTCACCTCCTCGTGCGTCACGGTGTATTTCACCCCCAGCTGTGCCAGCCGGCTGCAGTCACTACATGAGCGAAGAACAACAATCAAACAATCACTCTGAAGAGGACGGTCAGACACGGCTCTCACCTCCTCGTGCGTCACGGTGTATATCACCCCCAGCTGTGCCAGCCGGCTGCGCAGGCGCGTTTTGAGCATGTCAAACGGCATTGCAGGGCGGGATGCCAGGCACGTCTCCTGTTGCGAGTTATGTGTGGGTGGGGGGGGAAAGGGGAGGGGAAGGGGAATGGGTGAAACGGGAGACGGAGAAAAGCTTTTCAAGCATGTCAAGTGGCATAGCAGGGCGCGACGACAGGCGAGTCTCCTGTTGCCAAGGGAGGCGTGGGTTGGGGATGGGGTGAAAAGGGGAGTGGGAGAAAGGGAGAAAAGTGTATTTGACCTTGACCCCCAGCTGTGCCAGTCGGCTGCGCAGGCGTGTGTGTCTTGAGCATGTCAAACAGCATTGCAGGGCGGGACGCCAGGCACGTCTCCTGTTATGAGAGAATGAGCGGGTGGATGGAAAAAGGGGAGACGGAGGGAGGAAAGAGACAGAGGGAAGCTTTGGAAGCATGTCAAACGGCATTGCAGGGCGGGACGCCAGGCACGTCTCCTGTTACCCAGAGAGGCGTGGGTCGAGGGAGGGGGGAGAAGAGATGACGAAGAACAGAGAGGAAGGGAGAAAAAGGAGGCACTGGAGGCATGTCAAACGGCATTGCAGGGCGGGACGCCAGGCACGTCTCCTGTTACCCAGGGAGGCGCGGGTTGGGGGAGGAGGGAAAGGGGGAGTGGGAGAAAGGGGGGGCAGAAGGCATGGCGTAGAGGAAGCTGGGGCGCTGGGAGAGCTTCTCCTTGGCTGCCTGTTTCTCATGGAGGTTAGACAAGCATACAAGAGATTGAGCATTCCAGTGCCCTCTCACCTGGAAGAAGACCCATGTGGGGGTGGAAGGCATGGCGTAGAGGAAGCTGGGGCGCTGAGGGAGCACTCTCTCCTCTGCCTGCTCCTCGTGACACGGTACGAGATAGAACGAGACATAAAATGCATTGCCCTCACCTGGAAGAAGACCCGTGTGGGGGTGAAGGCATGGCGTAGAGGAAGCTGGGGCGCTGAGAGAGCTGGGAGGGAGCTCCCCCTTGGCTGCCTACTCCTCGTGACGAAGTAACATGGGCGCTGGGTGCAGGGGGGCCTAGAATTTTGAGTTTCATATCCAAACATTCTGCTGCCCTCACCTGGAAGAAGACCCGTGTGGGGGTGGAATGGAAGGCATGGCGTAGAGGAATCTGGGGCGCTGGGAGAGCTCCCCTCGGCTGCCTACTTGTCATGACATCTGATTTAAACAAGCATGGAACGAGCTGAACTTTCTGTTGCTCCCACCTGGAAGAACACCCGTGTGGGGGTGGAAGGCATGGCGTAGAGGAAGCTGGGGCGCTGGGAGAGCTCCCCTTCGGCTGCCAGCTCCTCCCTGGAGCGTTGGAGGTCCCGATAGTCCATGAACAGCATGCTGGCTGGGTTGTACGGGTAGGCTGAGTCCAGCTGCAGGTGGAAGAGGGAGAACAGGAAAAAACGGGAAAGGAATTGTAGGAAGACTGTCAGAAGGCATGTCATATCCCCCTCTTCTCCCATGCCTGCTCCTCGGTGGAGCGTGTGAGGTCAGAGTCCAGCTGCGGGGAGAAAGGGAGAAAGCACCAGGCAAGCGTAATGGCTTTTTCTATTGCAGAGATGAAGTTTTATTCTAACAGGCATAGCGTGGGAAAACGCATCGTGCTGGAGCGTGTGACGTCCCGGTGGTCCGTGAATGAGCATGCTGGTTCTGCATTTTGGGCTCTAGCTGTGGAGGGGAGAAACACAGAATCTTAGGACTGCTGCAAAACTCTAACTTTGAGTAGCCATGCCGCAACCAGAATTTCAAATCTGCAGGTTCAGTCCCATGCATCCTTCACGCTCAACTTCATACCTCCACTTCGATGCCGTATGCTGTTTGCACGCCCACGCCTCTCGTGTCATTGTCGTACTTGAGAAACTTCCCAGAAGCTGCTCCAGCCGCCACCACAACGAGCCTGTTTCATGGCCGGATATGAGGATGAAAGAAACGGAGGAGAGCAACCAGCATACGCCATGTTGCTCCACTAAATAGAGACAGCGCACGAGATTGCCCATTGCATGAGAAACTTTATCTATGTGTGTTTTGAGTCGACTCAAAATAGAGGAGAGCAATCAGCATTCCCCATTGTGCTCCACTAAATAGATACAACGCATGAGAGTGCCCCTTGCATGTGCATTTTATTCTCCCTAGTCTGGTGCTGCCACCAGCCCAGCTCACCTGCTGTTGATGCGAGAGCCATCAGTGCATGCCACTGTGCTGCTCCGATGCGATCAAGTGCCGCAAATTCTCATACCAAAGTGCTCATTGTGCGGGCTATCAGGCACTGCCAGGCTAGCTCACCTGCTGTTGGTGCGAGAGCCATCAGTGCATGCCACTGTGCTGCTCTGACATGATCCAATGCATGAGAAGTGTACCTCTCCAGATTCCAGGTGCTCACCTTTCCAGTCTGGTACTCCCACGCTAGCTCACCTGCTGTTGATGATTGACCCATCAGTGCACGCCACTGAGCTGCTCCGTGCATCGTCATCCATGCTCTCCACCTCCTTCTCCACATACCGCACTCCCGCCTGCTGGCATCTGGTGGGTAGGGCGAGCAAGGAATGATGCGATAACAGGCGGAATGTGGCTGCTGAGTAGGCTCAAACGCTACTGTGCTGCTCCGTGCATCATCCTCTATGCTCACTGCCTCCCTCTCCACATATCGCACTCCCGCCTGCTGACATCTGGTGTGCAGAACAGGGCTAGCAATAGAGCATTCGGAAACAGGTAGATTGTGGCTGTTGAATTGATACAAACTTCATTGCTGCTCCGCGCATTGTCCTCTATGCTCTCCACCTCCTCCTCCACATACCACACTCCCGCCTGCTGGCACCCGGGGGCAGGGTGATCAAGGGCAGCGAAGATCTTGCCACCTGGTAAGCACAAAACACGACTCAAGACATCTTGCACCATCATATCATACGACGCCTGTGATGGAGTTGAAAACAGAGGCCAGAGCTGATGGGCGGACCCTCTGTTCGCAGCAGGAATTGGCACCTTTTTGTTGCACGACACACAACTTCCTGGAATCACTTTCGAGAATTCTCAAAAGTGATGTGCGGACCCTCTGCTCGCAGCAGGAATTGGCACCTTTCTGCTGCACGACACACAACTTCTTGGCCGGGAAATACACAGAGCTGTAAAAATCCAGAACCATGCGTCTCTGGCGCCGCTATAAGAAGTCACAGGTATATTCTAACCTCAGAACGAGCTCGTTGTGGAGTCTTGAGCGCTCTACTCGGCCATACGCCCTCCCCGTGGTGATGGGAACATCGGAGTCTGTGTATAGAATAGTATCGGTCCACACTTGGTCAATGCAGTGGTCCAACCCAATGGCTGCACGGAGTGTGGGGAGGATGGGAGCAGAGGAGGCAGATGATTAGCTTGGGAGCAGTGGCGGGAGAGGATGGTTACATCCAAGCACGGTTGTCCACAGATGGTGTCGGTCCAAACTTGATCGATGCTGTGGGTCCATCCCAATGGCTGCACGGAGTGTGAGAGGATGAGACGGAATGATGATTTTCATTTAAGATTTGAGAAGGGAACATTTTTTAGGCGGTGTGTATAGGATGGTGTCGGTCCACACTTGGTTGGATTTGTCGAGCCAGACGCCGGAGTTGATGACAAAAGGTCCGCGTTTGACACGCTCCGACGAAAGACATGACATTTGAGACGTCCCAGCAGTCGCTTACCTTTGAATTCGTCGAGCCAGACGCCATAGTTGTTGACGAAGGGTGCATCTCGGCCAACCAGCCCCACCGTGAGTCCGCGCTTGGCGCACTCTGCCGCGATAGAGAGCCCTGCGGGCCCACAGCCGACCACCAATACGTCGAGCACCGATGACTCTTTGGTGTCTAGAGGGAGGAGCTGTGCGGGTGACGAGCGGGAAGGGTAAAGAGAGACGAGAACAAGTTTGGCCTTGAAATCCTTATCACATTACTTTTAGGCCTTAAACTTTCAACGTCTTGTGTACAGATTCTTAACATTCCCGTATTTTTCGCAGCAACTTCTGGATTCAAGTACCTAGCTGGCGATCTTTGGCTGGTCCTCCATCGGCTTGGTAGCCTGCATCTGGACATAATGCAGGTCGGAACCACCTGCCTTGGTGAAATTGAGACGTGTTTTGAGACGAATCAAAACACATTCAGAGCAATTCCCGCATTCATATACCTTGCTGGCGATCTTTGGCTGATCCTCCATCGGCTTGGTAGCCTGCATCTGGACGTAATGCAGGTCAGAGCCGCCTGCCTTTGTGAAATCCTCAGTGTTAGCAAACGCTGCTTCGGGATTGGCTGCTGGCGACTCGACCAATGGAGGAATCGCACAAACTGGCCGGCATGATTGATGCACTCTATTTGCTGGAATGACGCTGTGACCAATGGAGGGACCATAAATGATGGACAGAGATGCTCCATGAATTCGTGTTCTCAACCGGCAAATACCACCCTTCTTGGAGTGGCTATGCTCCGAATTTTCTAGCCCATGTAAGGCGGACCGAGCTACAACTGATCCGGCATAAAACCGAGCTGAAGACATCCTGAAAGCTCCTAAAGACCAGCCAGGCCGAGGGTACCGTAATTTAAAATTGGGTACTAACAGTAACGCGAACCCCTCGACCTAATTGGCCTGTAGTGACACCACGAATACAAGGTCGCTTTAGGAAGAAGAGGATTTCACTGATAACTATGAGGCTAAAGGCTGACTGTTCCTTTCATTTGCCTGCTGACAAACACCCCTTAGCAAACCTTGAAAATTCCGCCTGTTCACACCGCTTCCGCTAATCCCCAGTTTAGGATCCTCCCGCTACACAGAGCTACCGCGCGAATTTCCGCGCGTGCGGCACAGCGAATGGGGAGGCTCCAAGTTTCCGGGGAGTTCGTGCAGCGAATCCGGAGTGGCAATTTCGAGGAGGAAAAATCCATGCGCGGGGGTTGTGATTGGCGGCAGCTTATACGCGAATCAGACCTTCCATCTCAAGAACCAGAATACACCAAGGCCTTTGAACTGATTGAATCTACACATAAGCCATTCCAATTAAAAGAAAATGTAACTAAACCAGCTTGATGATAAGTCCAGAGTGAAGAAATTAGAGTTTTACATGGTGAACACTTCATCGCTTAGAAAGCGTTATGTTGCTATTATAAATTATAATTCAATTGAAGGCACCGTACATGGTAAGGCACAAACAATACAGAAGACTCTGCTATCAAGCAAAATTAAATCTGCTGTCTAGGGGAGTTGGCTGCCAAGGAGGAGCCTTCAGGTGACAAGGATTCCCCAAAGGACTCTAAGTTGGGATAAGAACCCCAAGAAGACATGCCAGACGACTGCGGTGGCACAACAAACTCCGCACTCAAGTTGCTGAGCGATGCACAAGATTGGCTTCTTGACTCCTCTGTAATAAGACCTCCATCCCTTGTCATCTCGCTGCTCTTTAGCGAGCCTGGTGCAGCCCCAGGGCTGCACAGGAAATCACACGAGTTGGGAGGCGACACGTGGTTTGCGGGGATCGGAGGAAGTGGCGAGACGGCACGTGGTGGTAGCCCAGCTGACCGACCGGATGCTGAGTTGGCAAGCCGGCGGGAAAGACGGGGTTGTTGCTGCTGCTGGTTGTGGTACTGCTGGTGGAGTCTAGGAGAGGACGCTCTTTGCTGGGGAAACATCTGCAGCTGCATCTGATGATACTGCATCTGCTGCTGCTGCTGCTGCCGCTGCTGCTGCCGCTGCTGCTGCCGCTGCTGCTGGTGCTGCATGTGCTCCTGACGCATCATCTGCCGCTGCATCATCATCCATTCCCGCTTCTCTCTCTCCCTCCGCCTCTCTTCCGCCGCTGCCGCATCCTGTGGCGAAGGCAACGAGCAACCCGACTTCACGCTCCCCTCCTCGTCAGCGATCTCCCCATCGTCGCATTGGCTTTCGCAGTCCGAGTCGATCGCTGTGAACAGGCTCCGAGCACCTGCCGTTGGGCTCCGGACGCGGAGCGACGCCACGGCGACGGACGCGTCCGCGGGGTGCGGAAGCCCCGCCCTCATTGCGCGGCGGTCCAGACTCGTTCGGCGGACGGGCGTCGACGGCGCGGAGGGGCACCGCGCGCGCGGCGCAGGCCGCGGGTCGCGCTGGAAGTCGATTTCGCGGGAATCGCTGCGGCTGTAGGTGGCAGATCTTGAAAAGGACTGCTGCTGCTGCCATTGCGCCAACCCCGGCGGAGGCGGCGACGGTGACGGGACGAGCCCACATGCCGCCGCCGCCGCCGAAGCGTCATAATCCGGAAAAGCGGACCGTGCAGATCCATCTTGCGCACTGCCTGCGCCGCGGTGCAGCGCGCGCCGCTTGCTCCTTCCGCCGGTTGCGCCATCGGCGGAATCCAGGGCGCAGCCTCTGGCGATGTCGCCGCCCTCGAAGTCGGGGAAAGCGGCGGCGGAAGCGGATCGGACTGGCGGAGCCGGCGAGGGGCAGCGGGACGAGCGCATGCTTCCAGCCCCGCTCGTGCAGCCTCCGCAGGAGCGGCCGCACGACAGCTGGCGCTCAAACTGGGGGACTGGACTCAGCTGGCCTGCTTCGGCGCCGTAGCCGTTGAACGCACCGCCATGATCGCCATGAATACTTATAAGACTATTGAGTGAGTTTACGCGCATCGGCTGGGAGTGACGGCGCATGGTCGTCTCATCTTGCCAGAGCTGGCGCGCTTCGGCCAGCGACGCGGCGGCGGATCTAGCGGATGCCGCGTCGGAGAGGGACGCGCGTCGCGACGCGACACGGTTGGTAGCCTGAAACGGCGAGATCGTCTCCTCCTCGTCGTCGTCGTCCGACGTGGCATTGAAAACGTAGTCGGAATGACGCATGGCAGAAGAAGCAGCGACCGCGGCGGCAAGGGCAGCGGCATCGGCGCTTTGTTGGCGGCTGAAGAGCGCTCCGGTATCGAGCGACATGCGGCGCGGAATGAAGCCCGACGCCTGTCCATTTTCAGTAAAAGCTTCCCCTTTCCGTTCGTCTTTCCTCGTCTCCTTGCGAGCACGGCGCGGTGCGGGCCTATCATTGCGATCGCTGTCAAGTCGAAATCCTTTGAAACCCTCGTTGTTGGAAGGGAGAGACTTGGCTCCTTTCAACGGTGGCTGCTTAGGCTCAAGATAGTACGTGCTGCCAGGGTGAAGCGACTTTTCCGGCGCGAGACACGGGCGTGAGGAAGTGATACTGCCGACATGGTGGTCCGGATATTCCGCCATGATATCCGCGACGGTCTTTCCCCCGCCGAACATCTCCATGCTGCCGTCGGGGAGAAGGAGCGAGACGAGCTTGTCGCTGCTTCGCGAGCGGAGGAGCTTATCGAGGCCCCATCGAGACATCGCCATCGCCATTCGGAACACTCAAGGGATCGAAATAAGCACCTGGACGACGCCGCGTTGCCCCGGAATGGAAGAAAAGGTACTTGACGGTCCAATCAGTCTACAGGCTGTAGAGAAAGATACTAGCTTCGACGTGAGAAGCTAACTTGCTCCAGTGCGTCAAGCAAAGGGGAGCGTTGGGAAACGAGATGGAAATTTGTGCGTAGGTGTGAAGCGACATTTATCTCATGGTTGCTTGAGTTAACGTGGGTCGATCGAAGTCGTGGAGGATGGGATGGGATGGGTGGGATGGGAAAGAGCGACGTGAAAAGTTCAGCAACAGACGCGTAGCATGTGTTGTTGACAAGAGGAAAACGTTGAATTGGTGGGCAAAGAGGTCGAGGAAAAGGGGCGTGGTGCTGTACATGTAGTGGATTGTCGAGCCTGGGCGACGTGAGGCTGTACATTCATTGCACATCTTTTATCGTGGTTCACAACATTTTCACAGGGTGGGAAGCGGTTCTCAAGGCTGACCGTTTTGCACCGTGACGAAACGAAGTTAAGCGTACAGAAGCTACCTGACGTCGCCCAGCAGGTGGAAATTGGAGATTGGTGGCGATCCGAGGCTCGAAAATGCGAGATGACGCGAGGTAGACGAGGCCAAGCTGTGTCGGTAACCTGAAGGGCGACAACATGGATGTGGTTGAAATGAGAGACGTCACAAGGGGACCAGCGACTCGAGAAACTTTGCGATTGCGAACGAAGCGCGCTGAGCCAAGCAAATCAACATGGGTGTGCGGTTGACGGAAGAGGCGGGCTGCGCTGCGGGGATTGGGCTTCATCCAATGATGTGGGCTGAGTGCGAATCAAATCGAAAGGGACAAGTCCTGCCCATTTGCACAGCTGAACCGAAAGGGACCAACCAGCCAAGCAGACCAACTCAATTGGAGATTCACGCGGAATCTATGGGACGCAGACAAGAAGTCTCATTGACAGAAACAAGCATCCGTGGCTGACTCTGTCGTCAGTGTAACTGTCCGCTGGCGAATTTTCTTTCTGCTAGCTACAGAGGATTACAATTCTGGTGGCTGTGAAACGCACAGCATTGATAGCCAATAACAGGAAAAAGGCTGATGACTCAAAGAGTCCTTGAATTTCCACGTCATCCAGAATTAGTGGGTCATTTGCGAGCTTGTATAATTCAAACGAGTTGAGTTACAATCCTGCCAAATCTTCCCTGCATCCAAACCTTTTGTCTGCGTTGTCCAGGGTTGTCACTAGTGGTCCCTTCTTATGAGTTGTAAAAGAGAGTGTGCAAGTAAACGAATAACGAAGCTGTGACTGAATCAACTACGCATACAATGAATGCACAGACTAATGTAGGACTACTCTAGCTAGGAGGAAACCTCGGACGAGCGAGGTTGGGTGCAGGTTTGGCGATGGGAAAGCCGAAGGCGACGTGAGGAGCCTCGGCAGCGTTGAAATCGGCCGAACGTGCGAACTCCGATAATCGGGTTGTACGCGAAGCAGTCAACCCCGATAAGGAATTCGGGAAAATTCCTTACATCCCTTGTGCTGCCGAAAGGTCCAAGTTGCAATTCTGACTCCAAATCGTTACCATAGCGATCGATATTCACATTGCTCTGCAAGTAATTCTTTTTTACCGATATAAATTATGGAAACTAGAAAGCTTTCAAGTTTCCTTGCACGTATGTGTAAGGAGGACAAAACCATTACCGTAGTTGCTAAAGCATGAGCTTATACGAAGCATGTTTTTCTCAATCAACCATATCCCCCACTCCACTGCCATTACCATCACCATCATCGCCTCGCCATGCCCCGCCTTTCGCTCCCCGTCAACTCCGCCACATGCGCCGAGTTGCCCGCCTTTCTCCCTCACCGCAGCACCGCAAACACCCACATTTCGATTGCCGTGAACGGCTGGCAAGGAGGGCAATTCGTCAGTAGCTTTCAGGCCAGTAATGACCCCGTTATAAGCACATCCCACAATCTATTTCTCTCGTCCGTTTCGCGTCCCATTTCCTTCGATCCCCAATCTCGTTTCAAGCGAACCGTTAGTGCGGCTCCACGCTTATCGAGCCACTCGCGAGCCGCAAAATGCGTTCCCAACGGCGATACTTCCGCTGTACATGACACCGCTATCGGCTCTCCGTCACTCCGACGGTCTACGAGTTACCTAATTCCCGTTAACCGGCTAGCTATTGACGGACCGTCGTCTTCGACATTGTCCTCTCTAGCTTTGTACAGGTGGCATCCCTCTCGACGTAGTTTTGTACGGGTGAAATCAGCAGAAGGATCGCCTGAACACCCACCTGAAGATTTGTATGAGGATTTTCGGGATCTTCAGCCCGAAGACCTGCAGCGAATATGCAATTCAACGGGGTCAACGCAGTCAACGCCGCAGCAGCCGGATCGTGTTTTCGTGGCGTCGATCCCATTGGATGCGCCGGCCGGACCTCCTCAGTGGGTTGCTGACGTGGCAGGACGGCTGTTTCCTCTGCTGTGCAGTCACTGGGTGGTGATTATAGCGAGAGAGAATGGAGAGGTGAGGCTTTTATGGAAAAGGCGGGAGATTGAAAGGGATGTCCCTTCCCCACCTCCCCCAATGTTCCCCATATGTTCCCCCCATGTTCCTCCATGTTCCCGGTTCCCCACGCTCGCCCATGTTCAACCATGTTCTCCCCATGTTCAACCATGTCCTCCCCATGTTCAACCATGTTCTCCCCATGTTCAGCCATGGTCTCCCCATGTTCCTCCATGTTCTCCCAATGCCTCCTCCAGGGCCACTTCATGTGGCCCCCATGTTTCCCCCATGTTCCCCCATTTCCCCCCGTGCTCCGCCTGATGCTTCCCCATCCTCCCCCCTTCCTCCTCCCCCCCACCTTCTCCCCCCTCCCCCCCTCCCTCCTCCTCCTCCTCCTCCTCCTCCTCCTCCTCCTCCTCCTCCTCCTCCTCCTCCTCCTCCTCCTCCTCCTCCTCCTCCTCCTTCTCCTCCTCCTCCCCCTTCTCCCATTCTCTCCTCCCATTCTCTCCTCCCATTCTCTCATCCCATTCTCTCCTCCCATTCTCTCCTCCCATTCTCTCCTCCCTCCCCAGCCTTTGAGATGTTGAGGCCTTCCTCCTCTGCCCTCCTCCGTACCCCTCCTCCGCCCTCTCCCCAGTCCTGCCTCTTTTACTTAAAGGCTGTATGAACAGCCTTTCAGTAGAAGAATAGCCACGTGTTTGAAGAAGTGTTTTGAGACGTCTCAAAACACTTCTTAAAGGCTGTATGAACAGCCTTTCAGTAGAAGGCACTGGAGAGGAGATACTGGAGCTCAGCTCAGCTCAGCTCAGCTCTGCTCTGCTCTGCTCTGCTCTGCTCTGCTCTGCTCTGCTCTGCTCTGCTCTGCTCTGCTCTGCTCAGCTCTGCTCATCTCTGCTCTGCTCAGCTCTGATCTGCTCTGCTCTTATTTCCTGGAAAGGTGGGCGAGCACTGGAAATGATAACAAAATATCATTTCCTCCTTCACCTCGCCTTCCTCTGCTCTCCTTCTCCCCTCTCCCCTTCCGCGCTCCTCCCCCCTCCCTCCCCCTAGCGCTACCTCTTTGACTTGAGGCCGGATGACCCACAGAACATGCAGGTGGCACTCACATGACCCAAAGGGGGTGAAGGCCCTCAGTTGTTCCCGCCCACCTTTCCCCTCCTTTCCTCCTCCCCTCCCCCCAGTGCTACCTCTTTTACGTCAGGCTGGATAACCTGCGAGATATGGGATTTGAGATTTCGTGATCACCTCTTTTACTTCAGGCCGGGGTGCACATAAAAAATCGCGGGGGATGGGGAACAAAAAAAAATTGACCGTATTGTGGGCATCAAAGGTTAACCGCTGATGCCCACCCAGGTGAAAGTGCAGTGCACCCTGGCTTTAAGCCTGTTTGGGGTTTCGGGTTTTAAGCCTGTTGTTCTCTACACACGTTCTTCTCCTCTTCCTTCCCCCTTCCCCCTTCCTCCTCCCCCACCTCCCCCTCCCTCCAGTGCTACCTGTTTGACTTCAGGCCGGATGACCCACAGGACATGGGAGTGGCTCTCAGAGTGCTGGCGCTGCAGCCTGTGCCTGGTGAGTTGTGTGCGACTTTTGAGATGTCTCAAAAGTCGCTGCAGCCTGTGCCTGGTGAGTCGTGTGCGACTTTTGAGACGTCTCAAAAGGCGCTGCAGCCTGTGCCTGGTGAGTTGTGTGCATGGCCTGGGTGGGTGGGTGGGTGGGTGGGTGGGTGGGTGGGTGGGTGGGTGGGTGGGTGGGTGGGTGGGTGGGTGGGTGGGTGGGTGGGTGGGTGGGTGGGTGGGTGGGTGGGTGGGTGGGTGGGTGGGTTGTGCTGTTCTCAGTCAGTGGTACTGGCGGGTAGGTGGGTGCATGCTGTGGGCGGGTGGGAGCTAGCAGGACATGGGAGTGCCTCTCAGAGTGTTGGCGCTGCAGCCTGTGCCTGGTGGTTGGTTGGTTGGGTGGGTGGGTGGGTGGGTGGGTGGGTGAGTGAGTGGGTGAGTGGGCGGGTGGGTGTGTGAGTGCGTGGGTGAGTGTGTGAGTGCGTGGGTGTGTGTGTGGGTGGGTGTGTGTATGTGTGAGTGCGTGGGTGGGTGACAGCTGCAGCCTGCGCCTGGTTGGTGGGTAGAATCTGCATCTGTCACATGCCTTGCCTTTTCACATGCCTTGCCTTTTTCCATGCCTTGCCTTTTTCCATGCCTTGCCTTTTTCCATGCCTTGCCTTTTCCCATGCCTTGCCTTTTCCCATGCCTTGCCTTTTCCCATGCCTTGCCTTTTCCCATGTCTTGCCCACATGCGACATGCCATGGGTTACCATGTTCCATCCATGCACTGCACCTGTGCCACGTGGTTGGCTGCCAGGTGCCCACATGCCCCATGCCATGTCCCATGCTGTGTCCCATGCCATCCATGCCTCATCCCATGTCCCATGTCCCATGCCATGTCCCATGCTTCCCCCCCTCTCCCTGCCGATTGCCGTCAGGCTATAAACTCGTTCATGCACTTGCATCTGCCACTTCACTTCCCTCCTTCCTCCCTCCTAACGCCCCCCAGACTGCCTGCTCGTTTGACCACTGTTCCCCACCCTGCCTTCGTTCCCCTGCTGGTGTGTTGGCTCGTCTGCTCGCGCTGTCAAAAATCCCCCTTACTCCGTTTCCCTCCCTCTTGCCATCCTACTGTCCCGCCATTTCCAGGCTATATGCTCATTTGTCCGCTCTCCTCCCTCCCCTCCCGCCGCTGCTGGTGCGTCGGCTCGTCTGCTGGCTGGGTCAGATTGCCCCATTGCTCCGTTTCCCTCCCTCTCACCATCCCACTGTCCCTCGATTTCCAGGTTATCTGCTAATACGCCCGCTCTCCTCCCTCCCCTCCCGCCGCTGCTGGTGCATCGGCTCGTCTGCTCACTCTGACACGCTCGATGCTGTCCAATCGTTCAACGCCACGTGGCGCACTGACCTCACGGTTTTCTCCAACGATTGCAGAGACTACAGCCAAGGTACGTACGTAAAATGACGCCTAATCACGAAATGCCACGTTGCACACTTGATTTGCTGATGGTGTTTCCTAACGATTGTAAGGACTACAGCCAAGGTACGTTTGATTTGGCTCTCCCACATTTGTACAGATTGCAGCCATGGGATAAACAACGTGAATCTGCAGTGCATCGATTGGGTATTGCTATCTTGCAGGGGTATTGCTGCCGGCGCCCTTCCTTCCTAAGGGGCAAGAACGAACAAAAAGAAAACATTTTGCCGTCAATCAGAGCATGGAGTAGACATTGCTGCTGGTCCCTGTCTGTGCTTGCCTCATGCTCCTCATGCTCTCAACGCTGCATGCATGTCCCTATTCGTGCTTGTCTCGTAATCCTTATACCCCTGCTGCTGCATGCATGTCCCTGTCTGTGCTTGCCTCATACTCCTTATGCCCTTGCCGCTGCATGCATGTCCCTATTCGTGCTTGCCTCGTACTCCTTATGCCCTTGCCGCTGCACGCATGTCCCTGTCTGTGCTTGCCTCATGCTCCTCATGCTCTCAACGCTGCATGCATGTCCCTGTCTGTGCTTGCCTCATACTCCTTATGCCCTTGCCGCTGCATGCATGTCCCTATTCGTGCTTGCCTCGTACTCCTTATGCCCTTGCCGCTGCACGCATGTCCCTGTCTGTGCTTGCCTCATGCTCCTCATGCTCTCAACGCTGCATGCATGTCCCTGTCTGTGCTTGCCCCTCTACTCTTTGGGCGCAGCGCTCGTATCGCATCTAACAGGCGAGAAGATTGACCTCAGCTTGTACTTGTGAATCGTGAGTAGTGAAAGAACAGGTTATAAAGACAGAATATGCGAAGTTACTCTTGACTGCATAGATGCTTAAGGTACATTCCGGGGACAGTTGTGTCACAATCCCAATTTTGATTCGGTACAGAGGGGTACCAGGGGTGAAAATTGGGATTGTTGTGAGACAAATGTCCCCGCAGGAATGTAACCTAACTCATTCTCAACATCTTTTTCAGTGTCATCTGCTAGCAAATGTGATAGATTGAACATCCATTGATGTCCGTGTCCTCCTTAGACAGCTGCTGACATTGCACAGCTCCACATGACCAATGTTTGTGTGTTCTATTTACACCAATTTTCCTTTCACCATGGTTCATGGAAGAGTGTAGCGGTGATGCGACGGGAATGATGTTTGTTTGTGCTTGCAAGATGCACAAGTAGCCCATACAATGACATAACTTTTTGGAATTTCTCACAATACCGACAGAGATGCGACGGGAGGAGTTTCTCTATATTGCGAACATTTTCCACTCTGAAACACCTGACGAGGAATATGTCCCAGTCTCCGTGGTTCATTCAAGCCAAATCCTCTCCTTTGATAGGGCACGACACCAATCTCCACACCACCCTGAAATGCGGCAAATTGGAAAGGGGAAATGTCACAAGTCGCACCACGAGAACCAGTTCTGTTTGGAGCCACTTCTTTTTCCCCCCATCCGACGTGGCCACGCCTCCGAGCTGGAATTCCAATGTGCGTCACTCATCAAACCACTCATCGGCAAGCAAGGCTGGAACCGCTCATCAAAGCCTATCAGAATTTCCCACTTCAACCCCCCTCTCTTCAAAACATTGATCACCCCTGCGAATGCCAGATTCCTGGACGAAATTCGGAACAAGTCGCCAAATTTTGTCAGTGCCTCCTCAATTCATACCTGGAATACTGGGGGCAGGTTGCAACACCTAATTGCTTGACAGCATATAATACCACTCCGACATTTTGCTCAATCCAATTCACACATTCCGTCTAGCGTCGCTGACCAAAGCGCTTCTGTACATACTCCCGCATTTTAAGGCGCCTTCTTGTCACGACGCTCTCACACAATGGCCGCGACTCTCTCTTCCTCGGCATCCGCCACCCTTCGCTCCCTCTCGATCCCAGAGGGTACAACCCTCCCCTCTTCCTCCCGCGCGGCAATCCCTGGGTTCTCCGGCCTCAAGGCCCAGAAGGCCCTTTCCGCCTCTGCCGCTCAAACATGCACCTGCATGACGTGCGCGAAATGCGGTAACGGTCGCACAAGCGTCGTCACCATGGTCAGCGCCGACAACCAGTTCGCGAGCGTCTCTCAGTCCACCGCCGCTCCCGCCGCTCCTGCCGCCACCGCCCTCCTTCCCGCCATCGTCGGCGCCGGTGCTCTTGGCGCCGCAACCTACGTCGCCGTGAAGAAGCTCACCGCATCTCCCGCCGCCGCTCCCGCCGCACCCGCCGCACCCGCCGCCGCCGCCTCCGCCCCCGCCTCAACACCCGCGCCGCCCAGCGGTATCGTCCCGCGCGCGAAGCACGCGGCGGCGTCCGCTCTGGCGACGATGGCGACGACGTTCCCGTCGGCGATGCAGGAGGAGGCCTTCCTGAAGGCCGTGGCAGTGGAGCTGGCGAAGCTGGGGTTCCGCAAGGACAACGGCATCGCGCTGGTGAACACGTGCCGCGACGAGGTGTGCCGGCCCGTGGTGAGCATCATCGACCGCGAATTCGGGCTGAGCTTCAACATCTCGGGGCTGGGCGGGCTCGTCAACTGCGGCAGGTCGGCTTCGGAGCTGCCATGAGCCACTCGCCCGAGTTCCCCTGCGACGTCGACGGCAACCTCAAGGAGAGATGTACGTTTGGGCTCTCAATACATACATAGTGCTGATTTTCCTGTTTGCCACTACGAGCCTTCCAGTCGCGTTTCCTCATATTGCTGCCCACTTCTCCTGTTATTGTACCCGATCGCATACCCAGCTGAGCTGTGCCCTTTCACTGATTAACCCTCTAATTTACTTCTGTCTGTGTTTCCTCCCTGCAGACATCTTCTTTGCGTTCCCGCACGTGTCCATCGGTGAGTCCGGCGAGGTGGGGTCTCTGCTGCGTCGCGGTCGCGGCAAGCCGTCGAGCGCGTGCGGCGCGTTGATCGCCATCAACAACGACATCAACAACGGCGTGGCGCCCAGCATGGACAGTGACGACCCCGAGTACACGCTGCTGCGCAAGAAGATCATGGCCAAGGTACGAACACGTTCGTAATTTAAAAACTGCCTCGTTTCAGGGCCATTAACACAAGAAATAAACATGAAGAGCTAATGGTTAGCCATAAAGACTTGGAATTAAAACCTCGCACATTTGATCCCGCCTCCTCATCTCGCCCCGCAGGTGTCGCCGGGCGGCAACCAGTCGCTGGTGGACGTGACGCGCGCGGCGCTGGCGGCGATCAACGAGGACTTGGAGAAGCTCATCTCGCTCACGGTGAACCCCGCCACGGCGGACTACGCCGTCATCACGGGCGTGCAGATCCACTCAGGCGATCAGATTCCCGGCCAGCCCTTCCGCATCGAGCGCACCTGCGACTACATCGCGCCCGACAAGATGTACGCCGTGGTGCGCGGCCAGAAGTACGAGTTCACGGTGGAAACGCCCAAGTCGCAAGGCGTCGCCGCCATGGTTTGAAGAAATTTATTGCTAAATAAAGAAGACTCACTTCATGTTTTTATTTTCTTTAATAAAGCGTTAGGTTGAATGAATGTGTCAATCAGTTTTTTACTGATCCTCAATCATGCGTTGTGATTGGGCAGTCATTGAAACTGTATGGGAACTAACATGTCGGTTCAAGGCTAAGGACGCGGTAACATGCGTTGTGATTGGGCAGTCATTGAGACTGCATGGGAACTAACATGTCGGTTCAAGGCTAAGGACGCGGTTAAAGTGCTAGATTGGGGGGAAATTGATCCGGTCAACGCACTGAAACCTCGCATTTTTTATACAAAAGATAGACAACCGTTTATAACCGTGCTGAAAAACGAACTTGAGGCGATCGATTCTCCACTTTTACCGCGTCCTAAGGGCGACGTCAGGTTATACATTTCTCATGGGTATACAGTTCTTGTATCGTAGTTCAAGACGGGTCAAAAACGGTGGAAAGCGGTTTTTGGCGCTTACCGCTCTGCACCGTGTTGAAACAAAGTTAACCGCAGGGGCGTTCAAAAAGTTGTACAACCTGACGTCGCCCTAATGCTTACGTTCAGTTTCACCAAGCCATGGCAGTTTAGCTGCAGGTGTTGATTGTAAATCTAAACGCGACGCTTGTTTTTTCAGAAGCGATAGCACAGCCATGTTCGAAAGTGGGGGTGAGGAAGAAAAGACTTAGGCTATTGTAATGCCGTTCTTGCCATGGTGAGAAGCACGAGGAAATCGTTGACCATCGAGATGCCAACGATAAGTTATTGAAATCAGAAATTGGAAAGCGCATCTGCGACAGCGAGTTGCAGTGGGCTGAAATATGATGCAGTGGAATGGGATAGAAAGGGATTCAAATGCTAGAAAAATCTCAGCGTGATGATTTATTGGGGGTAACGTACTGAATATAAAGCGCCATATTATCAACAAAAGGTAGAATAAAGTTGCTTTCACCATTCTTTCCAAAAAACCTCTTGTTCACCAGCGTTTATTTTTCTTCTTATGATTCTGCATACAACAGATGGCATACTGTTAAAACCCCAGTTCCATATGGGAGTTCCGCTTGATGCTATGTTCGCAATGAGGGCGATTATATTACTTAGAGACACATGTACAATTTAATTGGCAGAACGCTTCTTAGAAGCGAAAACACGATAAGTGCACTGCAGTCACTGCATATCATTAACGTGACGCCGGAACACTAAACCATGGCGGCGACGCCTTGCGACTTGGGCGTCTCCACCTTGAGCTCGTACTTCTGGCCGCGAACCACGGCGTACATCTTGTCGGGCGCGATGTAGTCGCAGGTGCGCTCGATGCGGAAGGGCTGGCCGGGAATCTGATCGCCTGAGTGGATCTGCACGCCCGTGATGACGGCGTAGTCCGCCGTCTCGGGATTCACCGTGAGCGAGATGAGCTTCTCCAAGTCCTCGTTGATCGCCGCCAGCGCCGCGCGCGTCACGTCCACCAGCGACTTGTTGCCGCCCGAAACCTGCGAGGCGAGATTCGGAGGCGGGAAATTCAGAAACGGGAAATGATTAGTTTCTAGCTTTCGTGGCAGAAGTTTACAACTTGACCTTCATTTCTACGCTCATCAATGGTTAGTGCTGATTGCAATGAATTAAGAAACAATTGTTTTCTTTATTAACGTTTGCTTACCTTGGCCATGATCTTCTTGCGCAGCAGCGTGTACTCGGGGTCGTCGCTGTCCATGCTGGGCGCCACGCCGTTGTTGATGTCGTTGTTGATGGCGATCAACGCTCCGCACGCGCTCGACGGCTTGCCGCGACCGCGACGCAGCAGAGACCCCACCTCGCCCGACTCGCCGATGGACACGTGCGGGAACGCGAAGAAGATGTCTGGGAAAAGGATACAGAACATAAATAGAAGGGTAATTAGTGAAAGAACGACGGATGTCGCAAGCAGCGAAATTGGAAAAAGATTAACGAGGTTGATGAATACGGGAAAATGTCGAACTGGAAAGACAATATCATTTGAAATACTTCCAGATTATGATAACCCAAATTAGACCAAAACTTACATCGCTCCTTCAGGTTGCCGTCGACGTCGCAGGGGAACTCGGGCGAGTGGCTCATGGCAGCTCCGAAGCCGACCTTGCCGCAGTTGACGAGCCCGCCCAGCCCCGAGATGTTGAAGCTCAGCCCGAATTCGCGGTCGATGATGCTCACCACGGGCCGGCACACCTCGTCGCGGCACGTGTTCACCAGCGCGATGCCGTTGTCCTTGCGGAACCCCAGCTTCGCCAGCTCCACTGCCACGGCCTTCAGGAACGCCTCCTCCTGCATCGCCGACGGGAACGTCGTCGCCATCGTCGTCAGAGCGGACGCCGCCGCGTGCTTTGCGCGCGGGACGATGCCGCTGGGCGGGACGCTGGTTACCGCGGGAGAGGAGGGGGCGGGTGCGGCGGGAGCGGCGGCGGGAGACGCGGTGAGCTTCTTCACGGCGACGTAGGTCGCGGCGCCCAGAGCGCCGGCGCCGACGATGGCGGGGAGGAGGGCGGTGGCGGCAGGAGCGGCGGGAGCGGCGGTGGACTGGGAGACGCTCGCGAACTGGTTGTCGGCGCTGGCCATGGCGACGACGCTTGTGCGACCGTTACCGCATTTCGCGCACGTCATGCAGGTGCATGTTTGAGCGGCAGAGGCGGAAAGGGCCTTCTGGGCCTTGAGGCCGGAGAACCCAGGGATTGCCGCGCGGGAGGAAGAGGAGAGGCTGCTTCCCTCTGGGATAGAGAAGGAGCGAAGGGAGGCGGACGCCGAAGAGGAGAGAGTCGCAGCCATTGTGTCGGAGAGTCGTGTAAACGCTCTGAATAAAAGGAGTGTTCCAAAGGCGATGAACGACGTCGACTGAAGCTGTGACGTGAGATAAATGTCAATGTTAGGTTGTTATTGTCATTTTGGTGTTTATATATGCTGTCTTCTGCGTTGGTTCAGAATTAGTTCCCTGGTCTTTGCGCCAGCTGTTCTGGTCGCAGGGGTGTTGAGTCGTGAAATTCAGAATCTCGCTTGAAATCCTGGCCTTGTTGGTGTGAGCCTTTCTGAGGGGGGTATTTTGAAGCTACTGTATTTTGGGTTCGGTGCGGCTCGCACTTGCATTGATCTTGCCGATGTGTGGTGAGAGGGGGGTGATGTGGATGATCCACATGGTGTATCTCCATGTCGGATTGCCTGCCACGTCTGATCTGTTTGTGGCTCCAGTCTCGCACCCAAGCCGCACATTTTAACAATTCCCTTGTTCCAGTTTCCTGCCTTTCATGGTAGTGTGCACTTGGTATGCTGTCCTGCCTATCAACGAAGAGGATTTGGAGTTGCAACTGCGCCACACGCCAACCGCAATCCTCTTCGATGTAGGAGAGTTTGGACGGATTGGCAAGTGCAGGGAGATGTGTCTTCGGTACAAGGTGGAATTCTGTAAGGAAATTCCCTTTTCCTTACTTCGCGTCCCCTGCTCAACGCGTACGCCACTGTAGCACCTCAGTCAGCACCGTTACCACTCACGACCATCGCATCATTCATTATCCCGCCCTCTTCGCACATCGCATCCCGACCTCACGGCTCGGCTGGTAACCCGCGCTCCGGGCCTACGCTTCGACACTTTCCCAACCTCAGCCCCAGGCTCGTCGCGCGACAACCACAGTCCATTACCGTTACCACTATTGTTTCGCTATATAATCCTTCGCTCATGCCTTCGCTCATTGTACTCTTTGCTTCGATAGTGCAATTCTCGTTCGTTCACTCAATTGCACTCGTAACACTTGGTAATCAGAGCCTACGATCTCATCTCGGACCGCATCCACACCTTCGCTTCCCCCTATCTCAATTTTTGGGGGGGGTAGACGTCTCTCAGCGACACAGCACCGCCGCTCGTAGTGCTCTCTCGCAAGCACGCACGGCCACGACCGAGGCTCTCGCTGAGCTTGCCCGACACCCCCGCCATGGCCGACCTCAATCTCGCCACGTTGACGCAGGAGCAACTCGATCGTCTCGTGCGACAATTGGAGGATTCGGCGCTTGAAATCGCGACGCTCACGGCGGAACGTGACTCCGCTCGTCAACAGTCAACGGTGAATGCTCCGACAACATCCCACGCACCAACCAATGTCTCTGTACATTCGGAGGAGCCGATTATCATTTCATCCGGCACACCAACGCAACACAACAGCACGGGACAGCGCTCAGGCGCAGCCAGTGACGGCGCAGCCCAACCGATGCCCGGCATGGGAGGGAACAGGAGCACGCTAAGCCCACGGGAGCCCCGAGAAGCCCGTCGGCACGTGGAGTTTGCGACGACAAGTGGTGAAAACGCCATGATGGCCCCAATGCCACTCAAGCCGCAACGCCCGCCCTGCTTCGACCCAAGCCAACGCGGCGGCCCGACAGTTCAATCGTGGGTCTTCACGATGAATGTGTTTTTTCGACGCCAACTACGTCGAGTCGGACGCCGCTAAGATTCGGTATGCGGTTTCACTACTCAGGGGCCCCGCCATGGACTGGTGGCGAGTCATCGTGACGTCGCCACGCGCCTACGAGCCACCGTCGCACGAGGAAGGGCCCTCGGGTCCAGCTGTCACATGGAGTTCGTCCTGCGAAACAGCCCAATACAGCACGTGGGATGCGTGGTGCGCAGGGCTTCGGGCGCGTTTTGAGCCGATCGCGGCTTCGATTTCGGCGCGTCAGAAACTGCGCACTTGGCGCCAGCTCGGGTCGGTTCAAGACTACACCAGCGGTTTTCTCGCACTTTGCGAACAGGTCGGCTACATGCACGAGGCGGAGCGGGTGGACCGTTACGTCGGAGGGCTGAAGCCGGACATATCGCACGAGATAATGCTACGCGGGCTATCGAATTTCAACGAAATCCTCGCGCTCGCCGAGAAAATCGATATCCTACGCCGACCGAGACCGGGGTCCTATTTCGGACATCGTCCTCGGGGACCGATCGAGCACGCCACTGTACATGCCGTCGCAACGAATGCAGCT